TCTTTAACTTATAACTTCATACGTTATATAAATATATGTAAATTATCATAGATTATTATTAACTTAAAAAAGAGAAATATTCTTTTATTATCGTTTAATTTCGATAAGCAAAGAAAATAAACTTTACAGCCAAAAAATAATGCAACTGTCTCTCGACTTTCCTTTTTACATTTTATTTTTGAATATACTACTAATTCAATACAGATCAACGCTCTTAGCTATCTCTTAATTGGTTCGATAATTCATGCAATAAGGATCGAATACATCATAATATTTAACTAGACCAACAAAGAATTAAAAAAAAAACGAAGAGTGAAGGTAGAAGAAAAAAACATGTGTCATTCTTTACTAACGATTAGGTTTCAACAATTGAAATCGGAATTCCTGGACAACAAAAATCATCGCACAAGCGTATGTTCTCAAATGTCGGTCATGACCAATGATCAAAGTGCAACCATATACGAAAAAAAATATTGCAAATCTCAAATATTGCAAAAAGGAAAAAGAAAGGAAAAAAAATTCGAACCAAGGAATCACAAAAGAAAATAACTTTATTTTGAAAGTCAAAATGATTTTTTTGTTGAAAATTAAACTATATATTGTTAAGAATTAAAATAAAGTCATTTCGATTTTTTTGTTGACTTTTGCGTTTCTTGGGAAAGAGATACGAATAAAAAGCAAAGATTGTCGAACAATTGGCCACCCCTGTCGCACACTCAGTAGTAGTTGGTACATCGATCGGGCACGTGACAACACGTCGCAACATCGATCTCTTCGACGCATTTTCTTCGTTTTGTTTATACATCGATCATCATCGCGATTCGCTGCCGTTACAACGACATGGCAGCAACGACGATGACGGCGATGTCGCATATCTGTTACGCTTAATGAGTACGCTTTTATGCAATATCGACGCTGCGATATCCTGCGAATCATTCTGCGATATCTCGACTCTCCCGTCCCGTCACGTTCTCTATCCCTAAATGCGCAGCTATGATGAACGCGTTTATCCGAGAATCAAATATACTAGCGAATTATATGATAATTGTGAAGTTCGAATCTAGAACAGAACAGAAAATTTTATTGTTCTCTCATTTAAAACATTAAGATCAAATGTAACTCTTGAACATTTTTCCTATTTAATGTTTATTGGAAAATGTTTTTATATTAATTTTTTTATATTGCTTTTTTATATAGTTAAAGTGCACATTTTTATGAATGCATACTATGATTAATACAAACACGTAATGCACACCTTTAACTACATAAAAAAAATTAAACGATTTAATAGGATAATACATAAGTATTTAAAAGAAAAGTTTACGACAATGACACAATTGGTAGACAAACTATTTATTACGCAAAAATGAATTTGGAATGAAAGAGTAATAAATTATTGTTGCCATTAATGTTTTTCTCTGGAATAAACTATTACTTTTTGCATGTTCTAAAGAGAAAACATTGACATTTTACTTAAATTGTTTACATAAGAGAAAAAAAGAGAAAAGAATTGAAACAATTAAGAGTTATTATCGATCGGAATGACGTGTTGAAGTCTTCTCTTCTGATTTTTCAGATTAAGATTATGAGTTCCGAGTCGTGGACCTTGCCTCCGAAGCAAGGTCTGTATGACCCTACCCTCGAACGAGAAGCTTGCGGCGTTGGTTTTATCGTCGCCATTGACGGGAAGAGGTCGCACAAGGTGAGTCGATTTTAAGCTTCGTCTGTCTTTTACGTATAAAGTTCAAAGAACGACCTACGTCTCTCGAGTGTCGCGCGTTTGATCTTTGTAATCTATTATAGGTGTACGTCCGTATATTGCGTTGCATCGCATAGAGCATAGAGCAAAAAAGTGTAATAAAGATAAGATAAATAGCTAAATGCGGAAAATAAGTAATATAGTTAATAATAAGTAGTATAGTTAATAAATTCAAACAAATGAATTCTTAAATATCGGGAAAAAATTCAGAATTGTTGATAACAAAAATTATTTAGATAATTATGTCTCTATTTTAAAGTTGCAAAAAAAAATTTAAAGGCTTATATAATGTAAGAATTAAGATATCTAAATATTAAAATTGCGCATAACTTTAAAAGAAAGGCGCTGCATCTAAATATGCAGAATAATGATTAGATAAAATGAGAATGTTTATTAATGGAATATCTATAATCTGAGAAAGAAATAAAAGACCTCCATTTATAGATGAATTCGTTGATAATATATGGATATATCAATATAATTACGTGACATTTTTTTCATTGGCGATAAGGATTGGACTGATTTTCTCATATTTATGATCGATTATCTGTGAATTTCAGATCGTTCGAGATGCTCAGATATTGTCGGCGCGAATGAATCATAGAGGGGCATGCGCCTGTGATAATGATACTGGTGACGGTGCTGGTGTGCTTTGCGCAATACCACACGATTATTATGCCAATGAAATTCGGTAAGAGAATTCTCAGCGACATGCTATAAGTATCTTATTTGTCGACGAGATCGAATCTGGTTTCTGAAACCTTTATAACTTCTGATGTACTTGCGAGAGAGATATCCGATTCAATCGCCCAAGCCAAATGTTCCTGTTACATTTAGCGCTATATACTGACTGAACTAAAAGTTTAATTTCAGTTCTGAATTTTCATTATCTAGATCGTAATGCTATCGGAAAGAGGATCACATTTTATCCCAATGTTTGCCATTGTATTAGTGTCAATTTAGATATCTTTGCATTTTTTTATTTAAGATTTTTATATCAAATATTCAAAGCTAAAAATATTTTATAAATAATTGATTTCACTTGGAAGGGCAATTATACATAATTTTTATGATTTGTAAATCATTCATAATATTAATCCTTCATTTCAAGTATTTCATTTCTAAATTATTTCTCGTTGAATTTCTCTTAAATCTACAAAACATAGTTCCTGCAGAATTTTTAGATATCACATATTCATTACTTCTTACAATTAGACATTTATATCTATAGCAGATATTCATAGTTTTTCGATTCTTATATTTAAGATGGTTTTAAATACAGTTTTAAGAAATCATAAACCAATTGCATAATCATATTAGTATCATATTAGTATCTTAAAACATTACTTAAGGTGATCTTGAAATAAGGATTAACTGTGAATACCTATAACCTATCACTACAGTTTTACAGACTTTTAACTTCACAAATCCTTGACACAGTTCTATAAATCTTTCGTCATAAATCTCTGTTTTGTCACTCAGATCTCGAATAAATCTACAGACATTAAGTTTCTCCAATCCACAAATCCTTGTACTAGTTTCAATAAATCTAGAAATTACAGTTTATTAATTTAATAAGATTTTGATAGTTCAAACGTGATGAATTAGTTAAGTTCATTAAGTTATTTTTCATATACATTACAGCCAACAACAAAAGATCGAACTGCCCGAGTTCGGACAATATGCAACCGGTATCTTGTTCCTTGACAAGAAGACTCATAAAGAAGCAGAAACCGCATTTGAGAAGTTAGCTAAGGAGTGCAATTTAAAAGTACGATATATTGTATCATTATTTTTTTTTATTGATCGGTTTCAATGATTAAATTATCGCATTGTTTGGCGTGTATTAAATATCTCATATAATCTCGAGATCGTGTAATTCGTAGGTGCTGTGTTGGCGTAATGTCCCCACCGATAGCTCCCAGATTGGTCAAGTGGCGAAGAAATGCGAACCGTACATGCGTCAAGTATTCGTTACTGGCGATCAAGATGCGGAAACACTTAAGCGACAGGTAAATAATTTATCTAATAAATAATTTATCAAATCGCTAAAATTGAGTTGTGCCTGAAATCAATTAATTTTGGTTAGTGTTTCGTATCTTTAAATTTTAACTTTGTACTATAATTAACTAACATCGAAAAATAATTTATTTTCTACTATTATTACGAAAATATCTGTTGATTGATAATTGATATTTCCATTATTTTCAAACCTTCTCTCAAAAGATTCCCCAAGAATTAGTTATTAATGAATTCATAAAGTTAGGCGCTACATCGTACTTCGAATTAAACAACTTGGCATTAAACAACTTTGCTAATTTATAAAATTAGTATTCGGATTTGTCGTAAGTAACCATGATTTTCAAGATTAATACGCACACAAATCCTTTGATCAATCATAAATTACATGTTTCTTACATTTTCGCATTCTGTTTATCAGATTTTCGTGCTGAGGAAGAGATCATCGCATTCAATTCCGCGGCCAGAATTGCGATATTACATTTGCTCATTGTCATTGAAAACAGTCGTTTACAAAGGTCAGCTCACCGCTGATCAGTTATGGCTTTATTTCACGGATTTGAAGGTGAGTCCAAGTTATTTTTATCCTAGTTTCTTTTTCCTCAGAAAAGTATCGTTGTTGTCTGGAAGTCTTACATGAAATATATTACGTGTGTCATAACAAGAATAATAACGTAATATTAATTTTTACGTAGTATAAATTTTTTTCTTTTATATCAGTCTCCGAAATTCGAAACCTATCTGGCACTGGTACACACACGGTTCTCCACAAACACTTTTCCGAGTTGGGAAAGAGCGCATCCTTTACGGTAAGATACTACATAAAAATTCTATAAATATGAAATATAAAAATATGATGAATAATATACTATAAATGATTATTTTTCCATGATCACTTTTCTGAAAAACTAATTCATCTCTTTTAATAGTGAAACGAGGAAATATTTGTGTTTTTTAACTTCGTTATTTTTTATAATATAAATAAAAAATTTCTGCGAAGAATTTTAACTAATTTTTTATCATCAGTCATATAGTTATAATCTTTAATATTATTGCTTAAAAAATACATGAAAACTGCCATTACTTTTTTTAATCAAAAGAAACAAAAAAAAATCGATAAAATAAACTTTATCATAAACTTTAAAAATACGAATGGAAGTGTTTAAAATTTTTTCGAATCGCTTTTTACGATCATTATGAAACTAGAAAAAAACATTACGCTAAAACATTATAAATAAAAAAAGATAAAAACTCTATTTTAAAATCTTATAATAAGGTTATTACCATATTAATTATCAACTACTTATAATTCTTCTCTTTATCTTGTTTTTTTTTTGCACATTTCTTTTTCGATATACCAAAGATCCATAATTCGTGTTTATTTTATAGGTAACACTGCAAAACAATTCTGTTTTCACAATTCGGTAGTCTTGTATTACAGCGATAAGTAACTTTATTGTAATGTAATCGTAGTTTTCGCAGATTTCCGTTTCAAAATCACAAATACCAAACATCGATATAACGTGCGATGTTTGTCCATAGCTTGCTTGCTCACAACGGCGAAATTAATACCCTGCGCGGCAATGTGAACTTTATGAAGGCGCGAGAAGGTGTGATGAGCAGTCAAATATACGGTGATCAACTAAAACTGCTCTATCCAGTCGTAGAACCAAATCTCTCTGACTCTGGATCAGCGGACTGTGTACTCGAGTTCTTGGTGATGGCGGGACAACGTTCTTTGCCCGAGGTAAATTTACGTTATGAAATATATGAGAAATGTCTAAATAAATTAAAATATAAAGTATATTGCCTCTTACGGAAAATTGATTCCACATTTTTATAAATCGTTCTCAAAGATAGTTATTTCCAGAAATCATCAGTTTCACAGATTTAAACAGAATTCTAAGAATTTTTTTTTAATCTATAAAATTTTTCATAATAATTCTTAGTTTTTGATTTCATAGATCCTTTGTTTTAAAGGATTTTTTTTTACTTACTAGAAATACTTTCTTTTTCTACTTTTGCTAAGTATTTCAATTTTTATCGAAAAACAAAAATCTTTACTTCTAAAAAGATCTGAAATACTACTGATCTTGTAAAGGTCTGAGATATACCACTGATCTTTGAATACACAGAATTTTAAACATGGCTGAATGTTCTTCATTCCATCAATTCTCTGAATTGCTGCGCGCATTGCGGTTCTTTAGTTTCGCAGTTTCTTGATTTCAAGAATCTTGGTCTTCGACAAACACTTGAAACATCGTTACTGAATCCAGGCTGTCATGACAATGGTACCAGAGGCTTGGCAGAATGACTTAACGATGGCCACTGAAAAGCGGGACTTCTACCATTGGGCGGCGTGTGCCATGGAACCCTGGGACGGTCCAGCTCTTCTGACCTTCACCGACGGTCGCTACGTCGGTGCTATCTTGGACAGGTAGAAATTTTTTATCTCTTATTACGTCTTGTTTATTACACGTTTTTACGTAGGCTCTACTTCCCTCTCGTTCGTGCTGTTTGGTAATCTTTGCCACATTTTGTATCCATAGATCCATGAATCTGCAACTTCTCGGATCGAAAATGATTCGCAGTTATGCGGATTTCTGGATCTTTGGTTTCACTGACTTTCAACACTTTGATTCCAGTCGCGCTGATGTTATACATATCGCATTTTATTCAGAATGATGAAGAGAAAATATTATCATTGTTTGTACATTAACGACATAAAATATATTCATCTTACACATTCGTTAAAAACCTTTTAAAATGTACAAACTGAGTAAATGTATTATCAGATTTTTAAAACTAAATAAATGCGGCAATAAATTAAATTCTTAACTGTCGACGTATCCACAAAATGTGAAAGATAAATATTTGTTAATTCGCTATCGTATACAGTTCCTGAAAATTATCAGAAAGAATTCCATACAATAAACTTACTGGAAGCTGTGCAGGTAAGCAAGTGAATTCTTTGCAATGAAATAATTCCATACAATAGCGAATTAATATCGCAAGAAGAATTGCAAATATCATTGTAAGTATTTCACAGGCAGAAAAAATATAAAATCTGAAATATTTATTATCTAATTTGAGCAAAAAAATAAGAACAAAAAAATAACAAGATGTTTCACAACGATGAAATTAAAATCCGCGTTGACAGCTAAGAGTAAACCTTAATTAAAAATTACAATCACGCGATTTAATTAATTCTTTGCAGCATTCCTGTTGTAATGCACCAGATATTTTCTTACTTTTTAATTTTCTGTCATTATTATCTTATTTCGCAATTTTATTAATATAATTGATATGAAAATACTTTTTTGTTGTCATTGAAAACTTTTCGAAGTACAGCTCCAAAATAAATACAGTGAGAGAAGCAAAGAATTGAATTGAAGTAAAATTCAAAGTGTTGAAAGAATCCTATTGAAAAAGAAATGAGCCGAACGAAAGGACTTTGCGGTGTCGTTTGTTAGGGGAGCCGCGAAGAAAGAATGCTAGGCTACGTGAGCGTATTGCCTACGCTTTGCAAGACTCATTCAGCAGGATTAACGGTGCTCACAAAATACATGAGAACGGTGCACACGTAGAGATATACTCGGGTACAGGTAAACATGGATTTCTAAGGCAAAGGGAAGTCGTGCAATCGAATGGGGGACAAATAAAAACACCCTTCATCCCATAAATTCAGTTTTTTTTTCTACTATAAAGATTACACGGAATAAAACGTAAATAAAAATATTCTTTAGAGAAAATAGAAATTTCTTTATAAGGATATTTTTACAAAAACTACATTAGAAAAGTTATTAAAGTTTTAATTTAACCGAAACACTATTTTATTTTTAGAATAGAAAGGTTTACATTAACAAACAACAATTGTGAAAGAAAAAATTAATGTAACAGTTCCATTAATTGATTGTCCTAGGATATTTTAGAATTGAAAGTAACATTACAAATAGAGATTTCAAAATTTTAAAATTGATTACCATTATTTATTTACGAAAATTTTAAATAATTGTTTTTTAAAACATTTTAGTTTTCTTCTTATACTTAGCAATTAAACAAATTTCTGTTTTAATAATATTAATTTAATAATTTAATAATTTCTTTTTTTATTTTATTTCAAAGTTTATCAATATTTTAATAATGAAGGTTGCTATTTAAATTGTTTTTTTAATATATTCACAGTTAACTTATAGCATCTTGCAAAACATGAAATTACTTTTAAATATAAAATAAAAATATGAAGAATATTTATTTAGATTAAAAGTAATCACTTGAACATAAAAAGGATGATATGTCACACAAAAGAGTATAGAAACAAATAAATAGAAAAAAAAAAGAAAATACGTCAGAAAAATTTCGCACGACTTCCCTTTGCCCTGCCTTGCTCTGTACAGCCGAAGTGAGAATCGATGTTTACGATTTACTAAGTGTCCATCGTTGTCCCAACGTGCTGCTAACGCAGGTAAATAGGGCCTAGACCAAGAGACTGAGAGAGCGAGAAAAAGAAAGATGATATAGAGCGAAAGAGAGAGTATAACGCGAGTAAGCCAGCAGGAAGGCAGGCAAGCGAACGAACGAACAGCAATGTAGTTCACTCAGCTGATACCTAGCGCGAGACACAGAGGTGTGAAATACAAAAGACCTTTTTGAATTTTTGTTTGGCAGAAACGGCCTGCGCCCATCGCGCTTCTACGTCACTAAGGATAACATGATGGTGATGGCGTCCGAAGTGGGCGTCTATGATACTCCGCCCAGCAATGTAGTCCTGAAGGTAAACGAAGGAAATATGCGCATCCCAAGCACCAGCCGGTCCCACAGGAGTGTCTCTCACTCTGTCTGAGGCGGAGACAGCTAGCTCGCAGTGATTTATGATTTACCGACGAATCAACCCCCGTATGCTCAATCTTTTTCCCCCAGCCCTCTTTCTCTCATCTCCGCGCCTATTCTCTACATTTCTCCCCGAAATACAGCAATTTCAGCTAGTGGAAGAGCAACCAAGGAGACCCTCGCGTCTGCCCAGGGAAGTTTGGACCCTTTTCTCTTTGGCCAACAATCTCTCTACGGAAGCGACGAAAGAGCCTGCTCGCATTACAATTGTATAAAAACAATGCTTGCGCGTTTAATCGCGCGATAAGCCGCCTTGGATTTTTTTAATGTCACTTGAAAGTTTTGTTGTCCGAGAGCAACTTTCGTTGGCATTGTTTAATGGCCGGTAATATTGATCGTCACGAGTGAATTTGTACTCAATTTTCGTAAATACTCTTCAACAAAGTGACTCGCGTGTCAACGAAACTCTTAAGTGCATATCTAGCTTCGATAACGCGTCTTCTCGCCATCATTCTCGACGGTTCTCATTTGTCTCGTCGACTAATTATTATTATGTCACAAAACTCGCTTTGTTGGCCTCCTGCTGATTTCTTACTAGAAGAGAAGGAAGAGGAGGTGGCGATACGGCAGAACTCTCTTTATTAGAAAATCAAGAAAGTGAAATTTCGAAAATAATAAAATTCTAAGGGCAGCATTGGGAGAAAACAGCTTGTTGATTCTACGGGATAATGGTTTTTGCAGATTTATGGCTTGATAATTGCATGCTTACGCAAATTTTAAGTTCCAGAGGTCTTTGGTTATACAAATCGTTGATCATGTACGTCCTTGGTTACATATGTTGCGTCCTCGGCCAGGTTCTTAAATCTGTGGGCGTCTTCGTTCTGGGATGCAAGCACCATCATGCGATTTGTTTACTACATAAATCACTTTTTTTCTCATCATATTTCATCTATGTCTAACAAATACATTACTCATTACATTTTGGCATCTCCACCGGAAGCAACAAGCGTATCGTCTTCATAAAATAGGAAATACTTACGTCTTATTGAGCGCATCGAAACAGATGCTTGTGTATAAATAATCCAATAAACAGAGTTCTACCGTGCGGACAAGAATAAAGCAATTTACGCTCGTCGAATGATTTTGTGCGAATTCTATAGATCTCAAATCTTGCCAAAACAATGTAATGTACTGGCACTCTGCCTTTACACTGGTCGATGATCATCAATACCAACCATTGAGACGATCATCACTGACTTCATCCAGGATTCGGTAATCCTCAAATGTATATTTTATGCATTTTCTTTCATTCCTCTGATAAAGCTGCAGAAATGTCACATTCGAGGATTAAAGGTAAATCGATATTCAAAGAGTCGGTAAGGGCAGATTGTCATCAATCGATCCGCAATACCTATTCACTGTATGTTAGTATACATGTATAATAGCTAATCACATATATCGTATTTTATTTATTTTTTAATCATGTATCATGTATGATGTATAATTTGTCATCTAGGGACTAGGTTTGTATAGAGCTGTAGGACCGTCATCCAGTGCTGTCATATGAATGTCGATCATCGACGTGTCGAACCCGTTCTATGGCGATTATTGGTGTACTCTTTTATTTGCAGAGTCGCTTGAAGCCTGGCCGGATGCTTCTCGTTGATACCGAAGAGAAGAGGATCATACAGGACGTCGAACTGAAGTTGCAAATCGCTCGAAGAAGGCCTCATTCCAAATGGCTCAAGGAACAGGTAGCTAAATGTGCTTTTCGTCAATCGAGAACAATTCACGAACAATTGTTATATTGTCGTGATTAAATTTTACTTTGAAAATATAAGGTCGAATTTTAAATCCTATTTAAATTCTATTTTAAAAAATGATTGTCCGAGATAAAAATCAAGAAGTTTTTTATAATCTGGTTTTTTTCTTACGACCTTTTCTATTATAGTGAAGACACCAATTATAAAGCACTCTGTACATAGTTTATTTATGTTTTACACATAAGTTATATTAAAGTTATATTAAAATTAATTATATAAAAATTAAATTAATTGTGCTTGCATGAAAAATAATGTCACATATCATGGCTGTAGCCTATAGCTCGAAAATTAAATAACTCTTCGCTTTTCTCTTTGTTATTAATTAACACACCTAATTAACTAATACATTAAAGTCATTATTCTTCGTGTCAATATTCTTCGTGAAATATTTAACTCGGTAATTTCCTTGGCTTTAATGAAAATTGCATTAACATAATCGCATAAAAATTGACATTGAAATCATCACAAGAAAAATATCTAATGCAAAATTAACTTTTTTTGCACTGCTGTACATGCTGTTATCATCATATATGCAGAGGGTGAGTCGTTCTCATATCGTTATAAGTATGTTGATTTCTTTCAGTATGATGTACAGTTGGAGGTAGCAATATAATAAAGAAATACAAATTAATATATATAGTAGGTAGTAATATAATAGCGAAATATTATAAATGTGTGTGTAAGTAGAAATGTCTCTGAAAAAATCTCAGATAATTATATTATTGGAAAATCACTGAACCTGTTAATTTTATCTCTTCCTATTTTTATTATTATCTAATTTATTAATTATTCAATTGTCAATAGAACTCTCGGTTTGATATCTGCTTGTGCTCGATTATAGAAACTCTGAAAACAATTTAATTGCAGTACCAATTTTACTCTTTAGCTTCATTCTTGCGACGCTCATAATTTTAGTATCTAGTAGTTGGTGATGCTTTTTTGAACGCAGATTACTATGGATGAATTGCGTGCCGCACATGTTTACAATAGCAATGCAGGGGACATAATCGAAAATAGTCTATCTGTCGAAAAAAAGAACGCTATCAACGGCGTAAATGAGATTTCAGCCGTGAATAAAGTTTGGAGCGGCGACAAACGGCTCTCTCTTTATGGTTATACTCTGGAGACTATCAATTTACTACTTCTACCTATGGTGCAAACTAAGTGCGTATATCAATAATTTTTTTCTTATCAATATGTATTCCTAATTACATATATGTTCAATATTTCATATAGAATAATAAATGAGTATAAATACTAAAAATTTTTAAATACTTTAAATAAATTCAAAGACTTGTCCATAGATCTATTATAAATTTAATGTATCATCATTAAACAATACTCCGACACTATTTCTAATATTCAAAATATCTTTTTTTCCTTTAATAGAGTTGAGATTTCGATTATTTTATTGTATATGTATATAATACTATTATCTAATATTAAATTAATACGAAAAAATTATAATGCATTATAATTTTTTTAATGTATTATAATTTTTTCGTAAATAATGATATTTTTATTAATAAATATTAACGAAAAATAAAAATTTTCTTTCAGGAAAGAAGCGTTAGGATCTATGGGTAATGACGCTCCCTTAGCGTGTTTATCGGAATTTCAACCGTTATTATACGAATACTTTAAGCAATTATTTGCGCAGGTACACAAAAAAATGGAAAAAATTATAAAAATTAATTTAGCAACTAAATACAATCCAACATATTTTATGTATGTATTAACGCAACTTCAAATTATAATTTCTATCTAGGTAACAAATCCACCGATCGATCCATTCCGTGAAAAGATCGTAATGTCGATGCTCTGCCCAATTGGGCCTGAGAGTAACATTCTGGAGCCGAACGAACTGCAAGTACATCGTCTATTCTTGCCTCAACCGATATTGTCTTTAAGTGATCTTGAGGTTCTCAAGTACACGACTCATCGTAATTGGAGAACAAAAGTGATCGATATAACTTACCCTCTTGAAGATGGGCCTGGTGGTTTGTTGAAGACGCTGGATCGCGTTAATAATGAGGCTAATGCGGCTGCTAGGGATGGTTATCAATTGCTCGTGTTGTCTGATCGACGAAGTGGTCCAACAAGGTAAGTCCAATCTGTGAATAAAAATATTAATACATTCCAAACTGAAAGAAATGAAACTAGAATTTGTTGATTTTAGGATTCCGGTAAGTAGCCTATTGGCATTAGGTGCTGTTCATCATCATTTGATCGAAGAGAGACAACGAATGAAAGTCGGTCTCATATTGGAAACCGCCGAGGCTCGAGAGGTGCATCATATTTGTGTGTTACTTGGATACGGAGCAGATGCTATATGTCCTTACTTAGTATTTGAGATGGCAAAAAACCTAAGAGCAGATCACGTTTTCGATGAAACCTTTACCGACGATATTATTTATAAGGTAAGCAAAAATATTATTTAGAAATGTTAATGATAAAAAAAGTATTTGTATGAATATGAAAAATAAATATATATAAAAATTGTCTAATGATCGTTTAAATTCCGCAGAATTACGCAGATGCTATGGAACGAGGAATCGCGAAAGTGATGGCCAAGATGGGAATCTCGACTTTACAATCTTACAAAGGAGCGCAGATATTCGAAGCAGTTGGATTGGCCGACGAAGTCATCGATAAATGCTTTAAGGTATTTTTTTTCACAATTCCTAATATATAATAGTAAGAGTTTATATTTAAAAAAAAGAGTTTATATTTAAAATATATATATATATATATATATTTATTTATTCATATACTTTATTATTAAAAATAGTTTTGAGTAATTAAATAATATATATAGTTATCAAATTTTGTAATTTTTAAAAATATTTGTGATTACAAAATAAGTAATTTTTTTTCAAGTAATATCGTTTAGTCTTCAGATGCATATGATTAAAATAGGATCCAATTAATGATCATAATGATTTGAATTCGTGAATGATGCATCTTATTGTCAATTAAAAATTTAATTTATTACATTTAATTTATTACATTACATAGTACATACATAAAAATAATATTTTTGTTAATTGCAAACCGACTTGAATTTTTCAGGGTACTCATTCTCGTATTGGTGGTGTGACATTCGATATTTTGGGCAAAGAAGCATTCCAGCGACATCAAATAACGTACTGGGACAAACCGATGGATTTGCTGGTCATTCGCAATCCAGGAATTTATCATTGGCGATCCGGCGGCGAGAAACATATTAATGATCCTGCTAGCATCGCTAGTTTACAGGTAACAAAGACTAAAAACTAAAATATCGACAATTTACATCTACTACAAAAAACATAATTATGCACAAAATCCTTATTCTGAAAAAATATATAAATGTATAAAATAGAGATAAGGTAATATAATTTCAAACATGATATAATTGTGAATGAAATAAGATTCGAATTCAATTTTCAAGTCTGTTTTTGTCCTGATACCGTTATGTTCTTCACACAATGAGATTAGGATTACCAAACTTGAACCTTGAAATTGGATTCAAATCTTATTTCGTTTCGAATTATATGATGTTCAAAATCGTATCACTTTATCCTATATTTTTCTTTTACAATCATTTTTCTTTCATCAGGAATATGTTGTCTCTAAAAACAACTCTGCTTATGAGAATTATCGCAAAACTACGATGGAAGTAGTAAAAGCTTGCACTTTGCGTGGCCAACTTCAACTGAAAAAGTCGCGCGATCCGATTCCCATTACGGACGTGGAATCCGCATCAGAAATTGTGAAACGCTTCGCGACCGGCGCGATGAGTTTTGGTAGTATTTCCATGGAATCTCATACTACCCTGGCAATTGCTATGAATCGCATCGGCGGCAAGTCGAACACCGGCGAAGGTGGTGAAAACGCAGACAGGTATAATAAAGAAGAAAATAAGATGAGGAATTTAATAACCTAAAAATTTCCATGTCTTGATCTCTTCTAGTGATTTTGAAGACTCTATCATTATTGCAATTGATTAATATGAACATAATATTGATATATAATAAATTTATAACTGTTTATCCTTATCCAACAGATATCTGAATCAAGACCCGGAATTTAGCAAGCGTTCGTCTATCAAGCAAGTAGCAAGTGGACGCTTTGGCGTTACTGCCAGTTACCTGGCAAATGCAGACGACTTGCAGATCAAGATGGCACAAGGCGCGAAACCTGGTGAGGGCGGCGAGCTTCCCGGTTATAAAGTCACCGCAGAAATTGCTGCCACTAGGCATTCGGTACCCGGAGTCGGTTTGATCTCGCCGCCACCACATCATGACATCTATTCGATCGAAGACTTGGCCGAGTTAATTTATGATCTTAAATGCGCCAATCCAAACGCCCGTATTTCTGTCAAACTCGTATCTGAAGTCGGAGTGGGTGTCGTCGCTGCTGGCGTCGCCAAGGGTAAAGCCGAACACGTGGTGATATCTGGCCACGACGGCGGCACTGGCGCCAGCAGCTGGACCGGCATTAAGTCCGCCGGATTGCCCTGGGAATTAGGCATTGCCGAGACGCATCAGGTGCTGACCCTAAACAATCTGAGATCGCGCATGATTGTGCAGGCGGATGGCCAACTGCGTACAGGTTTCGACATCGTGGTGGCTGCGCTGCTTGGTGCAGACGAATTTGGTTTCAGCACCGCTCCATTGATCGCAATGGGCTGCACAATGATGAGAAAATGCCACTTGAACACTTGCCCAGTGGGCATCGCCACGCAAGATCCAATATTGCGAAAGAAATTCGAGGGCAAGCCAGAACATGTGATTAATTTCTTCTTCGCATTGGCTGAAGAAGTAAGAATGATTTAGGCGTTGTCTTAACGCCATCGTCTTTTCTCATTTTCACTATTATTTTCATGTTCTTTCATTATTCTTTTAGATATATTTTATTCCCAAAATGATTATTAAACCAGAGTATTAACAGTAGAATATTAAATAATTATATTTTTATGTTAAAGTTAAAAAATCTTCATATATAAATGTAATAAATAATATAAATTAAATATAATTACAACACAATTTACACACATTACAATACAATTAAATTTTTATAAATATGAAGTATTATTTTAACGTACGTATTAAATTATTTCTATTAATTTCCTTGTTTTTGCAGGTACGTTCGCATATGGCGAACTTGGGCATCCGCAAATTTCAAGATCTAATTGGACGCACAGATCTTCTTAAAGTACGTGATGACATCTCTGTTGAGAAAGCTAAGACTCTGAATCTTAGCAACGTTCTGCGAAGCGCATTGGATTTACGACCTGGCGTGAATATCAAGGGTGGCACTGTAAAACAAGATTTCCAGCTGGAGAACAGACTTGACAATAAATTAATTGAACTAGCCGAGCCTGTTTTGAACGGGATACACAATCGAGTCAATATCGAAATGAACATCAACAACGAATGTAGGGCATTCGGTTCGACACTGAGTTATCATATAGCTAAGTACGCAATATTTTAAAAAATTCTTTTATACGTAGAAAAAAATCGATAAAGCAAAATTGATACATCATTTTTATCAATGATTTTAACTTTCTTAATTTTATTTATCTTACAATTATTTTGTAGACGATTTGGAGAAGCTGGATTGCCCGAGCATAGCATTAATATCAAGATGAAAGGCTCTGCGGGTCAAAGTTTCTGCGCTTTTATGACAAAGGGTATTCATGTTACTCTCGAAGGCGATGCTAACGATTATGTCGGCAAAGTAAGTACAAGTTTCTCAGAGTGCGGACACACTAATCATTTTATTGGGCTACAGAAAAAAAACGCCAACCCATTCATACGAAACTACTTTGTGATGCTACAAAAAAAAGACGATTTGTTTACAAGAAGCCTAAGCGAAACATTTCTCTCTCATGCCACAAAGTGATCTCGACTGATCGATGTATTTTTCTATTGCGCAACGAAGTGACTCATGTCTTTGAACTTTTGAATTTGCAACACAAATAATTTATACATAATTTTATATTGATTCATTCAATTTTATATTCATCATATTAAATATCAAAATATTAAAATTTTATTTGCAGGGTCTCTGCGGAGGTGAAATCGTCATATATCCGCCAAAAGATTCAGAATTCAACTCGGAGGCGAATGTAATCGTCGGAAATGTTTGTCTTTACGGAGCTACTTCCGGAAAGGCCTATTTCCGTGGTATCGCTGCTGAGAGATTCAGTGTACGTAATAGTGGAGCGATTGTCGTAGTGGAGGGTGTGGGTGATCACGGTTGCGAGTATATGACTGGCGGTTGCGCTTTGATTTTGGGTCTTACCGGCAGAAATTTCGCGGCTGGAATGTCCGGTGGAATCGCGTATGTTTTGGACGTCGATGGTTCTTTTAAGAGTAAGTGCAATCCCGAAATGGTGGAGTTACTACCGCTCAACAAACCAGAAGAAATCGCCTATGTGAAACAACTATTGGAGGAATTCATAGAAAAGACCGGCTCATTGATCGCACAAGACTTGCTCGCCACATGGCCAGAACCGACCACAAGATTCGTCAAGGTCTTCCCTTACGAGTATCAGCGGGCCCTCAAACAGCTGGAAGAGGAAAAACAACAAATTCCCAATATCATTAACGGTAATGCGCAAATAACAAACGGAAAGGTCAAAGATATAGAAGATTCAATAGAGGACGCGGAGATGGCACAGCGAAAGTTGGACAAAATCAAGGGCTTCATGAAGTATTCAAGACAGAAGATCATGTATAGACCTGCTGAGAAGCGTATAAATGACTGGGATGAGATATATAACTTCCAGGGTGTCAGAAAGACTCTGCGAGTGCAAGCTGCACGATGCATGGAATGTGGTGTTCCATTTTGTCAGAGCAGTCATGGTTGCCCATTGGGCAACATCATTCCTAAGTGGAACGATCTCGTATTCCACCAAAACTGGAAGGAGGCTTTGAATCAACTATTGCAAACTAATAATTTCCCTGGTGAGTCAATTTATGAAAATATTTTTGCTAAATACAAATTTTCCCTCACTTTGTGATAAATTCGTTCCCCTTCCATTAACAAACTTGATTTTACTTTTTGCATATAATAATTTTATTTTTGTATATAATTTCTATTGCATTTAATATTATTTAATGGGAGTAATCAATTATTTTTTTCAATCTAATAACAGATATCATCTTTTTACTGATTTTTTTTTAATCGGTTAACTATGTGGATGATCTGTATCTAATCCTTTGAAATTAAATAATCTAGAGTTTACTGGAAGAGTCTGCCCCGCACCTTGCGAGGGTGCATGCGTTCTAGGAATTTCCGAACCACCTGTGACAATCAAGAATATTGAGTGCGCCATAATTGATCATGCGTTCGAACAAGGTTGGGTCGTACCTCATCCACCAACAAGAAGAACCGGACGATTAATTGCTGTAATCGGATCTGGTCCTGCGGGATTGGCAGCCGCCCATCAATTGAATAAAGCAGGTCATACAGTGACTGTATTTGAAAGAAATGACAGAATCGGTGGATTGTTGCAATATGGTATACCGACGATGAAGTTGTCTAAACAGGTTGTACAAAGAAGAATCTCTTTGCTCGCCGCTGAAGGAATCATCTTCAGAACGAATGTCGATGTAGGAAAGAACATTACAATGCAGGTAAATGAGCGCATTTGACAATTTTTTACAATATTATGTGTATAATCATAAGTATAATATAAACCGGAATAACAATTTTGCTAAAGTATCTAAAAATAATAAATAATTAGATACAGAAAATAATGTTAGATCATTAAAATAATAATGTAAGATGCTCAAACTGATTGCTAAAAGTCAAAACTTTTTGTAGTATGATTTTGATAATCCAATAAAATTATTTTCAGATTTGTATCTAGCTAAATTTTTAGACTTCAACAAAATTGTTCTTTCCGTGTAACAGAAAAAAATTGATAATATTTTTGCTTATATTTGATATATTTGCTATATAAAAAAATCAGTTAGCGTTGTTTTATTTTTGTTTATATTTGCACAAATATCATATGATAAATTATTTTCTCATTTCTATAATGTTTATATATTCCCACAGATTTCCTACTTATACTTATCTTCAAAATTTATTTATATAATAATTTTCTGATACTCATGCATATGTATATTATTGCAGGAACTTCAGGAACAATACGACGCAATTATGTTATGTACAGGCGCGACATGGCCTCGTGATTTGCCGATTCCAGGTAGACAGTTGGAGGGAATACATTTTGCAGTAAGTTTTCTAGAGCACTGGCAAAAGAAACAAATGGGTAACGCAGCATCCTTAGATATGCGGCTAATAGCCAAAGACAAGAACGTTATCATCATCGGAGGCGGGGACACTGGCTGCGATTGTATAGCAACCTCTCTACGTCAGGGTGCAAAGTCAATTATAACTTTTGAAATCTTGCCCGAACCACCAGTCCAGAGGGGCAAAGATAACCCGTGGCCTCAATTTCCGCGAGTGTTCAAAGTCGATTATGGTCACGAGGAGGTATCCCTGAAATTCGGCCGAGATCCGCGCAGATACAGTACAGTGAGCAAGGAATTCTTGGATGACGGAAAGGGTAACGTGAGTGGCATCAGGACGGCGACCGTAGAGTGGCGGAAAGACGAGAATGGTCGATGGAAAATGGAAGAAGTACCAAATTCAGAGAAAGTGTACAAATGCGATCTAGTATTGCTCGCAATGGGTTTCCTTGGACCCGAGAAGTACATCGCTACGGAAGTGAACACCGAATTGGATGAAAGAGGAAACTATAAGACTCCAGTCGGAAAATATTGTACTAGTTTACCCAAAATATATGCGGCAGGCGGTTAGTAATATATATAATATTATTACACCAGATATGTTATATAAAAAAATTTTTTGTTTTTTTAATCTATTATTTATCAACCAAAAAATTATCCATATCTTGCATCGTACTTAGTATCGATTATAATTTAAAAAAATCTTATAATTTTATTTAGTTATATTAATCCTCAAAATGTCCACAAAGGATTAGCGTAACCTCCTGATTTTCATAGTTCAGATGTTTTTTCCAATCTCTTTTCACTTATTGCAAAATATCTTTTGTGCTACAACATTTTAGACTTTTTAACTCAAAAATTCTTTTTTTTTTCAGTCTTCAAACGATAGATTAAAAAAAATTAGTTAAAATTAATTAAAATTAGTTAAAATTGATACAATCTGAAATATAAGCAAAAGAAAATGCTGGGTTACAAATACCCAATTTTAATGTTTAATTTATAACTTTAATTTATACCTTGTACTTCACACAAATTTTTTATTATAAAAGTTATTGCATCAATCAAAATTGTTAGTATTATAATCTTCATATTAATTGTCTAAATTGATTTAATAATTGTGACTTATAAAGGCGTGAATATTATATATGTTATATTTTATATATATATTGTTATATGTATTTTTGTAAAATAGATTGCAGACGTGGACAGTCTCTAGTAGTGTGGGCAATCGCAGAAGGTAGATTGGCTGCAAAGGAAGTTGATTTAGCCTTGATGGGAGAAACCGGCCTTCCCGGAAGCGGTGGTGTCATAATCGGCGTTAGTGCTTAAGGACCTTCACGATGGATGTTGGTCTTCCAATTAAAAGAAAAGATCCACCGTGTACGCGTACCGCGAGGAAAGAGTCATATCGACTATTAGAAGGCAAAGGAAGAGTCCTTGGAGATCCAAGGATGCGAAAAGTGCTCCAGGATCCGAGAGTGCTCCAGGATCCAAGGATTCGAAAGTTTCACGAATCCAAGAGAAATATAAGCCTAGAATTGTAGGGTTCAGAAAGAATCTGAAAGGATGTAAACATTCGGAAATCCGCGAATTCAAACTATCAATAATGATTCATAGCTCCTAGAATATGGAGATCAAAGAATTGTCCTAGGACTAAATGCTTTTAAATTTTAAAGAATTGAACATCTAAAGATCTTGAGAACCTAAAGATGAGAAAATTCGTATGTTCGAATTTTATGTAACATCTACAAATTAGATGTTAAGGTTCAAGAGTTCGAATATTCTAACAACGAGAATATTAAAAAAGCAAATTTCGGCTTCCACAAATATAAAAATTGAAGAATTCGAAGAATGAAAAATTTCAAAATATGAAGAAATAAAGGATTATATTGATATATATGACATCAACATTACAAGAATTCAAGAATCTTTCAAAAAATTTTAAGAAACAAAAATTTAAAAATATGACAACTGTATCCAAAAAATTGAAAAATTTTATATTTAAAAAATTTTTTAAACATACCTAACTTTATGTGATAAAAATCTAATAATTTCAGATATAACTGCAAATAATTTGCAGATGTAACAGTTCTAAAGATTAAAAAATTTAACATTAGTCAAATGGAAAATAAGAAATCTAAGAAATTTTAGAAACTTTAAATCACAAATCTACAATTATTGCACATTCAAAAAATCTGTTATATTTATGCTACGACAAACTGGCAATTTCAGGAATTAAAGAGCATGAAATTCGTATTTGCAAATCAATTAGTGATAAGCAAGCGATTAGAAGCATTCGAGGATTTAAGGATTGAATGATTCTCAAACCTCGATCTAAGGATGTGATAATCAAGTAAGAAACGAGAAACAAAGTAAGATAATTTTTGCGGCGCGAATTTCTCCGGATAACGGGAAATAAATGTAATTTCTTCATAACGTAGTGGAATTGTCTAAGCATCTCGTTCGTCCAATTAGAATTAATCACACATGAGAGAATTAGAGCTTTGAGTATACGGAAAGATACTGAAGTGAGCTGATAGCAGGATCTGACATAACTACACACATGAATTTATATTAGGCGATACTTTGCCAACTAAAATGTTCTTTTTAACATGCAATTGCAAATCTATTATTTTAACAATAAAAATAAAGAGAGATATGTTTCAGTAAAAATTATTTCTAAAGAGTATACCTATACGAAACTTTCTGACGTTTTAATTCTCCGAATATTCTCAATTATCTTACATGCAGTTTAGATACTTTAAATACAATTATAAATTCATTTTCCTTTATGGGACAAAATTCAAGAATCGATTGTAATGAAGTTCATGTGTAAGTACAAAAAGTATTCGTATATATAGCCATTTTTCTTCTGTATGTTTTAATTAACAATTAAGAATGTAAACAAATCGTGTAAAACAATACAGATCGTTACATAATAAAATAATATTCATTCATTATCTTTGTTTCTTTGAATCTCATTTTATCAATCAATAAATATATGTCATCTAAAAAAATTACTAAAAAAAATATAGATGTTAAATATATGTTAAAATATTTAGGTACATAAATATTAATATTGTGTTATTCTGATGCATTGTTTATAAAACTACACCTGGCAACATATATTTGTAACGTTTATTTTATTAGCAGTACGGTACATCTTTTTTAATTAAAGATTATAATCTTTTAGTAAATTTTATATTGTTTCTTTTTCAGAGAATTAAAGAAAATATTAAAAAAATAAATATTCTTTAGAAAAAAAATTATAAATTTAACGAAAAATAATTTGCTTTAGAATAATTCATTTAAAAACTACACTTATTTCTTTTTTAAGGATAAAGATACAAAAAATTACAGAGATTTGTCTACATTTTTTTTAATACGTGATCAATTAACGCTAGCAAAATAAAATAATGGCATACGAATACTTTTATAGTACACTTATCTTTTATTCACTTTCAGTATACGATTACTAGTATTTTTAGCATTCTTAGGCATTCGCCTAAGTTGCCTAATGTATTATTACGAATCTGCTTTCTGCTTATATTATCGATAAAAAAAAGTTACATGAATATTATTAAAAGATCATGCTATAATATAAATAATAAGAGGACAGTGTAGCACTTATATATGTCGTTCACTGCAATTTAATAATAATAATAATTCCGTCAATTAATTCACAGTCGAATTTTTGCAAGCAAATAGGACACGGTCGTTTAACCCTTTAATCGCACATAATTATGATTAAACTTGATTATAAATTGAATGCTTTTGAATTCTGTTAGTAAAATAATCATGGCACTCTTAAAATATAGTTTTAATTAAAATGCTCGAAAAAGCAAAAATAAAAGAATTAAAAGAAGAAAGTTTAATATATTCTCCACCAAAGTTGTATTTCAAATGTAAACAATATTCGAAATTTATACAATAATATATTTATGTAAAGAATTACATATTATGTAAAATATTATACATTTATGTAAAAAATTATTTAATTACTTTTAATTAAATATTGAATCGAATAATTATTTAAATTTTAATTTTTATATAATTGTAAATAATGAATTCATATTTGAGTTTAAAGAAAAATAAAGTAAATCAACAATATCGATTAAAGGGTTATTATCGATTTTAATAACTTAATCAATCGTCTTCAATGCTTTTATGAGCTGAAAATATCCTAATGAATTGCGTTTATATAAATTGCAGTTCCACTTTTACGCGCATTGTATCAAGAAGACAACATTAATGCTTCTAATCACGTTTTTGTAAAATTCACAGTTTCAAAAAAGAAAATATATAGCTAGGCCTTAAATTAGAAATTTACCGCTAAGAGGTAATTTATTATCAACGAAACAGAGCTAACATTTCATACTTAGACGCGATTTATTTCTAATGCAATTTATCTTTTTATTGATAGCCTTGTAAATTTCAATACATACAATATCTTGAGACAATAAAAATATATATTGAATGTTACGAGCAACATCACCTTTGGCCTTTTGTTTATAGTAATTTTCTAACCCACTTTGTATGTACACATATAATACATATAACACATATAATACATATAAATATTTTACATATCATATTCTACTAAATCTTCAACAATAACCAAATTTAATTTAAATCAATAAAAATTAATTTTATTTTTCTAAGAATAATTTTTGATTGTAGTTCACAGCGCATTTATTCTAAAAAATTAGCATAAATGAAAAGGACACTATATATACATCTATCGCGTGAATTTCTTTAATAATAAATTCTCTAATTCGATTTTTCTAAGCTGTCACTCATTCATTAAAAATGAACGTAGATATAGTCATCGTATTTTTACTACTGGCTTTTACTATTCTTCAGGATTTTATCAAGGTTAAAATAGTTCCTGGAAAAAAGAATTAAAAGAAGAAATGCTAAGGAATTTGCAAAGCAAAAACAACGAATCGAAAACGATGACTTCGTTGTCTATATTGCGCTCCGAAATTCTTTCTTTCGAAGAGTTTTTGCCTCCTCCCTCTCAAATTCCAATATCGAAATGGCAGGAAATAATTGAAGACGAACACGTCAGCCATGTTATTGGCTTTATTCGCGAGGAAATCGTCCGATCGGCTGCGGACGCGATTTATGAAAATTATTTTCGGAAAGCAGTCTACGGTTTTGTTGTCAATTGCGCTTACGAGGCTTGGATGCGCGCGTTTCAGGTAATTTGCAAAAAACCAAGTACATAACACAATGATTACAGTTACATAAAATTGACATGAAATTTTCAAGACATCATCTCATAATCAAGTATTACTTGAAAAGTATCGGAAACCCAATAATCTAGAACATAAAAGTTATAATGATATCATAAATTGTGTTACGAGAAAAAAGAAAAGATTTAAATATATTGCTAAGAATTATTATTTTATGATACATTATGTGATTAGTACATTGAAAAAAAATATATCTATTCAATTTTAATAAATATTTGTTTGAACAATACTAGCTGAATATTTATTAAAAGTAAACATATTTATTTGGTAAAATAAAAATCATTAATTTTATTTAACTATCATTTTTTTACTTAGTAAACATTTGTTTACACATGTAAATAAATGTTGAGTTAATACTATTCCAATAAATATTTATTAAAATTTGATACAATTTTTTCTCAATGTATACATATTCGATTTTTGCGATCGATCATGTTTTCAGTGGGTGCATTTGGAGTATGATAATCGAGAAATGTCGGACGGATGTCCCGTTCCGGATGAGGCATCGTTGCTAGTCGTTAAATATCCTCGATTACCTCGAGGTGTCCCGACGGTGTACGGACGATTCGCAAAATTGACCACGAGTGAAAAATCGTCGAGTCAGCGCAAAGCGAATTACGCGAAAAGTGCATTGCACGGAAAGAGCAGACGATTAAATACGAAGATCCGTAATTAGAGTAATTACATGGTTTGATTAGAGAAAAGCCTACAACTTTCGATCTCAAATGACGTATTCTGTATACGTGCGAAATAATTACTTTTTAAAACTAGACGAAGTACCAAGTTATTAAATATAAATTCAAAACAGCGAGAAAATTACTCTTTTGTATAATTAACGAAATTATCAATTGTGCATTAATTAATGAGGTAAAAGTAAAAATTAATGGAAATGAGTATTTCAATGCTTTAGAGTTGTTCACAGACATATGAATCAATAAAATCATAATGGTTGTATTCAACAAAAATCGCAGCTTTGCAAATGTTAAAAAGATTCTTTGATATATGATTACTTTATATATTTAGATAGTTGAGGGACTAAGCTCACATAACATAGTTCGTCAAAAAGTATCTTAACAATAAATATCCAGTAGAAGACGTGTTTATGTCCCCAGAACGCTCTCAGCAAACTGTGTCATGTGAAAAAGCAAGACTAATCATATTAAAGAATTATACAACTATTGCAAAGCTGTTTTCTTCCTGATGAAAATAATAATTAGAGTGTAAATCGCATGAATGTACAAGAGTAATAAAAGCATGAACGAAGCTTCTAAAAGGCGAAAATTGAGACAAACGCCCTTGTTATGCTTCGTTTTCTCAATTTTTGTTTCAAAGAAACTTTTATTTACGCTTCTGTCTCCTTTTGCATTCGATTCCAACTTTTATTCTTATCAAGGTTTTTCTCAAGATAATTATATATATAAAATAAAAGTAGCTAATAAATAATAAACGTAAATCGTAATTAGTAACGATGCTCACTATTGATGAATGTGCAAGTACTCATGCAAACTACAGGTATTAATTATTAATTTTACTCACCAAAATGTACCTCAGCCGTTCCTCTCGCGCCCATTTCGAATCGAAAACGCATCGGCTCTAATCACTTCGGAATTCACTTGCTGATACATAAATCCGATATCCAATTGTAACAATCGGCTAATTACGATCGCGCAATGATTAATATGTCCCGATAGTTGCCCGATACTCATGATATTTATTTACGTATGCATTTCGCTTAAACGGAAGCGAAACGTAAGAAATACACACATATCATAATTTCGTCACGATCGCAAACGAACGCGGCGCGAGACAACATGGCGGATGTTGCTGCGCGCGCTCTATAAAGCCAGTTCCACATTAGTTACAAGCTAATCGCAAGTTTGTTGCAACAGCCAATATGAAGCGTTGATTTCAAAATGCTTCAGATTGGCTGTCGCAACAAACTTGAGATCGGCTTGCAACTAATGTAGAACCGGCTTAAGAGTTAAGGGCATTCTACAATGCGTTGCAAACACCCGTTGTCAGTTGAAACGTTTGTCGCGACAATTAGAAACATTAATGGTATTATTTATGCTTCTGATTTGATTATCGTGAAATGTTTTAACTAGCAACGGTTGTTTGTAGAATGCCTTTAAGACATAAAAGTGGAAAAATGCCATTGCCGGGTGTCAGGAACCGGCCGAAAACAGCACAATTTCATTATGGTTGATAGTCCGATTTCGCGTTCGAACCTTCTACATAAAATAATTCCCAGTAAACGAGAATGGATTAAAAGGGATTAAAATTGTTTTCTATCCGAATGCGTATTTTAAATAGCAAATACTTTTTTTGGATTTAATTGGATTCAATTGGATGCAATTAGATTGAAAAACTGCATTTCTTATTCAAAATTTTGAATTGAATAGTATTCACAATACA